AAGAGGGAGCCTTCACAAAGGTTGCTTAGGAGAAGTCTCAGCAGTCGGTAGAGCCCCAGAAAGAGAAGGCACCGGAGGGGGATCATTTGGAGCCTCAGTACTGGACAGAACCCTAGAAGGAGGAGGCATCAGAGGTTGATCATTTGGAGCTTCATTACGCGGTACAGCCCCAGAAGACGAAGGCAATAAATGCCTTTGGAACAAACCCACAAATCTCTGATGATCAAGTAAAACCTGACCATCAGTTTCCTTCATCTGGTCAAGCTTCCTCTTCATGTTTGTAGCATAGTCATGTGCGAGCCGGTGTGCAACTGTTTATTCTCATGCTTGAGCCCTCTAATCTCCTGTTTGAGACTCATCACTTCAGCCGCCAATGATTCAACTTGGCGGGTTCGAGCAAATAGGCGTTGGGCCATATTAGACACAGAACCTGCACACTGAACACTGAGAGCCAGCGAATCCTTAACAGCTAACTCATCAGACCGTTTGGAAAGTAGTCTGTTATCTTTGGGAGTGAGAAGGTTCCTGGCCACCACCGCAGCGGTCATATCATTCTTCATCACGGAATCCCCAACGGTAAGAGGACCAGTAGGGGAGACGAAGGATGGGCGCCATATGTTGTCTGGAGAAGGCGGGGCTGCCTCTTCAACAAGGTTCAAGTCAAAACGACGGTCGGAGGGGCCAGACATTTTCAAAGGTGTTGAAGAGAGAAGAGGTCGGACAAATCAAGATCTTAGAAGTGCAAGAATGAAGCTTCTACTGGTGGAGATTCAAGTGTGCTTTGGAACTTAATGCCAGCCCCTATAAAAATCTGCACTCGACGAAGCTTCAGAAATCGAAGAGGCGCCTGCTCAGAAATCGAAGAGGCGTTTGCTTTCTCAAAAGCTGGGCTGCTTAGAGATCACGAGGGTTGATCTCAGAAATCGAAGAGGCGTTTGCTTTCTCAAAAGTTGGGCTGCTCAAAGACCACGAAGGCCGATCTCAAAAATCGAAGAGGCGCTCGCTTTCTCAAAAGCTGGGCTCCCCAGAGACCACGAGGGCCGATCTCAGAAATCGAAGAGGCACCTACTTTTCCAGCCTTTTCCAGCCTTGTCAGCACCTGTCACACGCACACACTCAGTTTTGCGGAAATTATGGGCATTCTGTCAAAGACTTCTGGGGAAGTAGAAAACACATGAATCTTACTGTTCAATCACCCACTTCCCACACGCAACAATAGCTCATGGGTACCACAGATAACTTTGCCAAAGTTCTCTGCCAAAGTTGAGCACGTGAAGCTTGCAGCTCCCACTACATCGCTCTGACCAAGAAGGGTAAAAGAATAGCAAAGAAACAGCACTAACAAAGTTTAGACCCATAAATTTTGAAGGTCTAGCTACCATATTATTACCCACAAGGGTAAAGGAACAGTACCACTGCTGGATAATTGGAAAGTCCCTGTGTGTCAACCTCTGTGCTTCGTGGCAAGGTAGACTAGCAAACATGCCCAACCTTTACTCACATTCGAGAAAACACTCCCAATAAGATTGCTTGCTCCAAAATCGAAGAGGCACCGTCCTCCGAATCTCGAGAGCCAGACTCCCAACATGACTACTTTCTTAAAAATCGAAGAGAGGGTAAAGGAACAGTACCATTGCTGGATAATTGGAAAGTCCCTGTGTGTCAACCTCTGTGCTTCGTGGCAAGGTAGACTAGCAAACATGCCCAACCTTTACTCACATTCGAGAAAACACTCCCAACAAGATTGCTTGCTCCAAAATCGAAGAGGCACCGCCCTCCGAATCTCGAGAGCCAGACTCCCAACATGATTACTTTCTCAAAAATCGAAGAGACACTGCTCCCCGAATCTCGAGAGCCAGACCCCCAGCATGATTGCTTTCTCAAAAATCGATGAGGCATCGTTCTCCGAATCAATCGAAGAGGCGCTCGCTTTCTCAAAAGCTGGGCTGCTCAGAGACCACGAGGGCCGATCTCAGAAATCGAAGAGGCACCTACTTTTCTAGCCTTGTCAGCACCTGTCACACGCACACTCAGCTTTGCAGAAATTATGGGCATTCTGTCGAAGACTTCTGGTGAAGTAGAAAGCACATGAATCTTACTGTTCAATCACCCACTTCCCACACGCAACAATAGCTCATGGGTACCACAAATAACTTTGCCAAAGTTCTCTACCAAAGTTGAGCACGTGAAGCTTACAGCTCCCACTACATCAAGAAAGGTAAAAGAATAGCAAAGAAACAGCACTAACAAAAGTTTAGACACATAAATTTTGAAGGTCTAGCTACCATATTATTACCCACAACTGTAAAGGAACAGTACCACTGCTGGATAATTGGAAAGTCCCTGTGTGTCAACCTCTGTGCTTCGTGGCAAGGTAGACTAGCAAACATGCCCAACCTTTACTCACATTCGAGAAAAACACTCACCAATAAGATTGCTTGCTCCAAAATCGAAGAGGCACCGTCCTCCGAATCTCGAGAGCCAGACTCCCAACATGACTACTTTCTCAAAATCGAAGAGAGGGTAAAGGAACAGTACCATTGCTGGATAATTGGAAAGTCCCTGTGTGTGTCAACCTTTGTGCTTCGTGGCAAGGTAGACTAGCAAACATGCCCAACCTTTACTCACATTCGAGACAACACTCCCAACAAGATTGCTTGCTCCAAAATCGAAGAGGCACCGCCCTCCGAATCTCGAGAGCCAGACTCCCAACATGATTACTTCCTCAAAAATCGAAGAGACACTGCTCTCCGAATCTCGAGAGTCATACCCCCAGCATGATTGCTTTCTCAAAAATCGAAGAGGCATCGTTCTCCGAATCTCGAGAGCCAGATACCACAGACCACTTTTTCAAAGTGCTCTGACAGAGTTAAAACATGTGAAACTGGCAGCTCCCACTACCGTGCTATGACCAAGCAGGGTAAAGGAATAGCATTACTACTTGTTGTTAGGGAGACTCCTATATATGTCGACCTCCATCCCCAACGGACAGGCAGACCTGCAAAAATGCTCAACCCTTCATCATATCTGAGAGGGCACTCCCAACGAAGCCTTTCGAAATATTCAGCTTTCTTTCCCCCCGATAATACCTCTGCAAACAAGCTATACTAGAGCAAGAATATCTCATATCATCAGGGTTAAAAGCAAGAGTATCCCATATCATGCTTTTTCCCTGTCTTTTCTTTTGGCCTTGTTTTTACCTGCAAGACAAGGAGAAAGAGAGCAATCAGTCAGCACTTGGAATCAAGCTTCCAGCCAGGAACTGACTGCCTGGAACCCCTTACCTGATTACTTTACCTGGCATTGCTCTCGAGTACTCATCTTCAACATCTTATGTTTCCAGGGAAGATTCCGCATCTGCTTGAGGAACAGATAGGGCAAGTGCGAAGGATACAAGGAAGCATGTGGAGACAAGCGTAACAGCACACGTGCCGATACATTCATTACTCTGTCAAAAGCAAAAGTATCCCATATCAGCAGGGTGGAACGTACTCTAGATTTGATGGACTTGTTTTGACCCTCAAATTCTTCAGTCGGCCTTATACTCTGGAGGAAACCAGAAAACCCTCCAGCTCAGTTCAAGAATAAGCCTGTGGAAAGTTACTTCTTCAAAAGCAAAAGTATCTCATATCATCTCTTCTCATTTTTCTTCTCTTTATCCTTCATGCTGCTGCAAGATGGGGAGAAGGTGAACAATCAGTCGGAGCTCTGATTGCTTACCTTGTCTGTCACCTCTTTCAGCAGACCCCCGAGCTCGGCGACTTGGGGGACTCCTACTACATGGTTTGTATCGCGCTTGACCAAGCCTGAAACTACAAGTAAGCTTCAAGTGAAATTGATACATTACCTTGTGCATCTCCACCAGTTAAAGATACCACCCCTGGATGGAGGAAGAGTACTTCCAGAGAAGATGCCACATCTACCTATGAGACAGATAAGGCAAGTCAAGACGACACCACACTCCGATACTTAGAAGTTTCGTGATTACGAGATCATTCTCCCACAATATTTCCTAATGTCATTTGTACTAAATCATTCACTTGTACTCACTAAATGAGAGCTTGAACCTATGTACTTGTGTAAACCCTTCACAATTAATGAGAACTCTTCTATTCCGTGGACGTAGCCAATCTGGGTGAACCACGTACATCTTGTGTTTGCTTTCCTATCTCTATCCATTTATATACTTATCCACACTAATGACCGGAGCAATCTAGCGAAGCTCACAAAAAGCGATCGTTTTCGCTACCTAGGATCTATCTTGCAAGAGAACGGAGAATTAGATGGAGATCTCAACCATAGAATACGAGCTGGATGGAAAGAGTGCATCCGGCGTGTTGTGTGACCGTCGTAGGCCACTGAAGCTCAAGGGAAAATTTTATAGGACGGCAATAAGGCTAGCGATGTTGTATGGCACAGAATGTTGGGTGGTAAAGCATCAACACGTACACAAAATGGGTGTAGCGGAGATGAGGATGCTTCGTGGGATGTGTGGGCACACGAGAAAGGATAAGATTGGGAATGAGGATATCCGAGGTAAAGTAGGAGTAGCCGAAATTGTAGGAAATATGAGAGAAAATCGGCTCCGGTGATTTTGAACATGTGCAAAGAAGGCCGACTGACGCTCCGGTTCGAAGATGTGACTACGGGACAGAGGTTCAGGGCCGAAGGGGTAGAGGAAGACCTAGGACAACTTTGGAAGAGACTCTAAGAAAAGACGAGAGTACTTGGATCTAACGGAGGACATGACACAAAACCGAGCGCAATGGCGTTCTAGGATTCATATAGCCGACCCCACTTAGTGGGAAAAGGCTTTGTTGTTGTTGTTGTTGTATTTATTTATTTATTTTTGCAATAAAGGATATGGATTTTCTGCTTTCTTTCAATGAAGAATGATTGGAGTGAAGAGCTTGCTTGATTTTCCAAATTCTATGCTTTTCGATACATGTTATGCATTTTATTACATTTCTCAGGTTGGCTTTATGTTTGTTATTGAATAGGTTGGATCTTTGCGTGATGATCGTGATGCATTTCAAGATTCAGTGAGAACAGATCAGAGGTAGGAAAGACATTTTGCATTTACTTTTTGTATTGTTTGTTGTATCTCCATAGTATGGGGAATGGAAAGTGATGGGGCAGTGCGTATGAGACTGCATTTCAGGTTTCCAATGTCCGAACTTAATAAAGGGAAAGAGCCTGATGCTGAAAACAACGATGCAGGTGAACCAGAGGATGACGACTCTGATGATGATGAAGATGTCGACGATGAGGACAGTGACGATAATGATGAGGATGACGGTAATGATTCAGAAGAAGATAGTGATGATGACGAAGAAGATTCTGATGATGAGGTTGAGGCTAATGGCAATGGAGAAAACGATGATGAAGATGATGACGAAGATGATGATGGTGATGATGATGATGAAGACGATGATGATGAGGAGGATGAGGATGACGAGGATGACGAGGAGCTTAACAAGTTGCCTTCAGAAAGAAAGAAAGTAAAATAAAATGTTTCAATATGTTTTAGACTGTTTCTTTAGAAACTTGGGGCAGGTCGGAAAATATTACTGTTATAACAACATTATTTGTTAAGACAAAACCGTCGAATTTCCTTTTATAAAGATGGAAAGCGTCTTCCGATTGTCAATTGAACGACAATGTTTCCCTCCATACCAAAATAAAAACAGAATCACGTCGGAGGAAAAAACCGAAGTGAACCAACGCACATCATCAACGGCTAGCAATCATTCACGGTTTGTTAAGCATAAGCACAATTGCACATTACTAGGGAATTATTTTGTTAATTGAATGATAATGCACAAGCACTACATTTTCTACACGAGAAAGCCTTGAATCCCAACACAATTTACACACCAATTACTTGGCGTCCAAGTTCCAAAGTAGCTTTCACTCCGGCAACTTCCCGGACCGGAAAATCGCAAACTTGGAGACCTCCGAGTACCGAAACCTAATCCCGTTCTCTTCCAACAAGTTTTCCAGAACCTGCTTATCCCTGTCAGGGTTGGAGCTCTCGCACTCGAGCTCATAACACGTCCCAAAATCGTAAATACTCTCGTCCACCTCTATCTTCAGCCCCTTCCACTTATACACACCCCTCACATTCCTAAACCCACCCAAGCACACAAACCCTTGCCCTCCTCCGACACTGTATTCCTCCCTCACGCGCTTTAAGATGTCGGAGGAGTCAACGACCGTAAGCCTCCACGGCTCGGCCACGCAGACGCGGCCGAGGACAGGGTCGAAGGGCTCTTCCAGCTCTAGGACTCGGCTGACGCCGTCGGAGATGACGGGTTTGGCCTTGAGGCAGAGGACGCAGCGCCTGTCGACGTCGTAGAAACGGAGGCGGAGGATGGCGAGGTTAGAGGAGAGCTCGGAGTTGGAGCCGTCGAAGAAGATGTTCTCTTGGATTAGGGTTTGGGTGTGGAAGGGGGAGAGGAGGTCGGTGAGCTTTTGGTGTGCGGCGGCGTCTGGGAGGCGGAGCTTCACTTCCACTTCCATTGCTTTGGGGGTTTGCTGAAGGAAGGACCAAACGAGTGAACAATGTCGTTGATAACTTGATATGGAAGCACTTGGTGGTGGGAAATGTGGCTGCGGATCTGGTGTCCCCATTTTGGTGTCCCTTTCATGTCTCCTCCATCTTTCCTTGACATGTGTCCATTTACTTGACCCAAAATGAGTTAATTATGCTAACACTCCCTGATATTTATCGAATTTTCACAAAACCCCCTCATGTTTAAGCCATTATACTAACACCTCTTCAGCTTGAGTTAAGTGAATGAACACATGTCAAGCAAATAAAGAGGAGACATGAAAGAGACACCAAAACAGGGATGGAACATCCATAAAATGTAGTAGAAATTTTTCATGGGCAAATTTCAATTTTGGTCCCACTAGGTTGCTTTGAAATTTCAGTTTTAGGTCGAGATCCAAATAAGGATAACGTTTGACGAAGGCTAAACATACAATAAATAAAACTTAATAATTTAATATCGAGCCTGCTACATGTGGTAACATGGAGGAAATTGACGAACCTCAAAACAATTGAGATGCCCCGTATGTTGAAGGGAATATGTCAAACTTGCCCTTGTATTACAACTATCAGTTGCTAAACTTCTTGTTGCTAGTTGACATTTTGGTATAGTAATATTCTTTCTTGCTTGGAATTGAGCCGGATGTGTTAGATTCGGCTAACTTGAATGACAAGTTTGATACTAAATTAATATAGTCGGTCCATTATTCTCTTTGCTGCTGGAGTAGTTGACATGGAGTTGGTATTGGACAATACATTAACTGGGAAGAAGAAGGGCAATAGCAGAACCATTCTGCATTTCTTACTTCATATATTCCTTGTTTTTCTTCTTCCATTGTCAACCAACTCCGACGCCAAGAAGGGCCGATGCAGAGAAGAGGCAAATGAAGGAAGCCACTGCGAGAGACTGGTTGGAGAAGCTGAAAGATGTCTCATATGAGATGGACGACGCGCTAGATGAGTGGAACACTGTACTGCACAAACAATCAACTGACAAACAAGTAGAAGAAAGTCCTCTTGCTACACATTGCTTTTGTTCTCCACTTAAAATTCGATACAAGTTCATGAGTTATGGCAATATCCAAACTATTTACAACGACGAATTAGATGAAATTCATGCGGCAAAGTTGTTTGATATAATATGGTGAAATGTGTAAGAGAACAATGTAATTTCAGGGGGAAGGGCAAGTAAAATACAGGGAGTGATGGCTGTAGGATTACGGCATTTTGAAAGTGCCTGCGGAACCAAACTTCTTATGTGCTTTGGAGCTATCTTGAGCATTGCTACTTTCCTCAGTTGACTTATCTTTCGCATTGCTATTATCCTCGGTTTCAGAGTATTTGAAAGTGTCCGCTGAACCAAACTTCTTACGTCCTTTATAGCTATCTTGAGCATTGCTACTTGCCTCAGTTGACTTATCTTTCGCACTGCTACTTTCCTCAGTTGACTTATCTTTCGCACTGCTACTTGCCTCAGTTGACTTATCTTTCGCATTGCTACTTTCCTCAGTTGACTTATCTTTCGCATTGCTACTATCATCGGTTCCAGAAGCACGGGGTTCCGATGAGTCAGGGAAACCTCTTTTTGCCGCGCAATCTCCGTTGCCAAGAATGTTGACTTGAGAGTGTCTAGAGATTTTAATATCTATAATCCCAGGTGGTAGTTGTTTCAATGGTGATCCATCAATCCTCATCTTTACAGATTCTGCAGCACCCTTAAACTCAAAACGAATTTCTTGTACCTAACAGAGGAGGGAAAAGCAATTCATCGGTGACTTCATTTCTAAAATTCAAACACATAACATAAATTTGCTCGCTTGTTACGTGCACATAAAGAACTAAGTACTGAAATCAAGTTCCTAAAAATCAAAATTTGGCTTTATGGTATGTTTTTCTTGCCTGATGCATGTGTAATATTTGGGTAGTTTTACAAATTAGAGATTAAATAAAATAAAGGAAAGAAACAATCGAAAAGTCTAAACATAACTGCAAGATGTTATATAACCTGATCAAGATAAATTCGTTCGTTCTGAGCCAGCAAAACTTCTTTCAAACCGACAATTTCAAGCTGTCCATCATTTATGACAGACGGCTTCATGTTCTGTTGTTCAATTCCAACCAATAAAGTGTTAGGAAATAACGAAGAACACTGTTTGCAAATTCTAACGAAAAAAAAAAAAAATCATTAGCCTGTGCACTCACACAAATAAAAGGTAAAGAGCTAAAAACTAAAGAACCTCACTTTTCGATCTTTGTTCATATTGGATGATCCCCCAAGATTGCTTGGCAAGTTAAGACAATCAATTGACTTGATTCTGTACACCAAAAAGAAACTTAGAATGCCAGCAAGAATTCCGCATCAGTATGCATGTTTGTGAATTTGTTCCTCTGTTGTCCATTTGTCTATGCACACTTGGATACATATCATGAAAAAAGATGGCTTGGTAATAGAAGAATGGATATGTGTGTGTGTGTGTGTGTGTGTGTACAGAGCATTGCCCTTCAGTTTGTTTGACAATGACAGAAATATGCCAAGATAGGGGAAATAGTCCATAGTCGCTTCGTCAATACTTGATACACTAATGAAACTTTCCATCTGTTTGGAGTAAAACAATTATGAAATCCAAGGGGGAAAAAGGAAAAATGGCTGGAAGACGCCATAATGAAAAGTCAACAAACATTTTTTCTCCATTTAATCATGCAAACCAGTGAGATCTGAGATGAGAGAAAGCATGGTTCATAACAACATATTTAAGAAACTAAATTACACATTAGTATAATCGATTTAAAATGTAAGTGTTCGAGTCAAAAGCAACAAAAATGAGGTGAATATAAGTTTGATTATTTACCCGCTAGGAATTTTAAGTGGTTCCAAACGACCATGCCTTATAACCTCTACGTTTACAAGTGATTTTAAGGACCTGTTTGGGACAGAAATAATTTTAATATCAAAGAACGAATATTCTAATAACAAAAAACCTAAAACATCTGAGCTGGAGTGCCATATTAATTCAATATCAAGTGCTTCAAGTGCAGACTCCATGCTTCTGCACTGCTGGTCAGCCATAAGTACATATGCCAGGCCACCAGCAGTATTCATGATGCAGTACCAGAAATTCATAAAACATGGAGTTTGCACTGTGGACATCTGCTCCTTAACCAGCATGTTTCAATGACTATTCATAGTAACATTATGTACTCAACTTGGCTTAAAGTATATATGAAGTGTCACACCCTGCTAATTATGTCGGTAACCATAAAAATCATATGTCATGACTCGTGGGATAAAACCATTGTGTAAAAACTGATAGTAATTTCAACCCAGCAATAAAAACAGGGTATTGTATACACCAATAGACTAGATTTTAACACCTAATTGGCAATGTAAACAAGCACGAAAATGGCCAGGGAATGCATAAATTAAGTCCTCATCTTGAAGATTGAGCTCATGTAGCCCTTACTGTACAGTTTTTTGTGTTTAATGCTGTATGACACCAATAGGGTAACTTTGTGGGTCATGGTGAAGGCTTATTATGATTAAGGCTGACATCAACATGACCCGATTCAGGGATTCTATAGTTTTAATGGCTTTTGTTGGTGTCTTGAAGGGTTAAAATTCAAGAATTTCAATACTAACGGATTAAGCCTTGTATTAATAAAAATAAGTACACTAATAAAACTTAAAACTACAATGTTAGCTATCTGTATTTAAAAATGTGCATTTGCCACCAGCATGACCATAGATCTTGTCGATTTCCTTTGATAGAAATCTAACGAGCACATCTGTGACTGTCTAAAGTGCTTAAACAACACACAGAATGGTAGTAACACAATCACTAACAGATACAAAATATATAACAAGAGTTTTCAAACCAACTTCTCAATTACATGAACATAAGCTAAATAACTACCTTGCAGTAGACCAGTAACCTCCGCACGATCTTGGAGCATCAACTCCTGTTGGCATATAAATAGACAAGACACTGTACTTGTAGTATTTATTAAGGTCATTAAACTTGAATATCACAAGACCTAACTCCAAATGAAAGAGAATTTTTATCTTCACAAAGTAATTATGGACCCCATACCAAGAAAACAAGAATATAACATTACCAATACTTAGATATGCTTCAATTAAGGAAGATGATGAAGTCCTCAAACCAATAAACATAAACACAACAGGAACCCTGGTCTGTTTTTATGGTAATATATTTGGTTTTCATTGGAAAAATAGTATATAATCAGGAACCATGGTCCTATTAGAATATAGAAAAGTTCATTAAAATGTCCATGTACCCATCTCATTTCACTATATCTTGAATACAAGAATTAATAATGCTTTTATTGGCAGTCTTTCCTATTTCATGTGCTTCTGCACTGATTTTTAGTTCTCCGCATTATCATCCATCAGTTTTGTTGTATTCCATTAGGTTTTCAGAATACCTTTTTAACATTCACGGAGAATTTAGACATCTAGCGAGTAAATCAAATAAATTGCAGCATGGATTTCAGGTAAACAATGACATCTTCATCTAGCGAATAACCAAATGGCTAAAAGTTTCCTATTGAACAGATTTCTTGCAAAATTGATTCTTAAAGGGAAAACTATACAGCTATGTATCAATGCATGGAAAAAGGGAATATCTGACAGGATTAAGAAGGAAAATGAAAATATAAAAAACAAAAACCCAAAACCAAAATCCAAAAACTTGGTGGCTGCCTTATATATTCTTACCCAAGCTGAAATAGCTCCAGAATCCTCCTGATAATTCCAGATTATCCTAAAAAAATGAGAAGTGAGGGTAAGGAGAATTAAATAAAAATGAAAAAGTACAGACTTCATAAGTAGATTGTTCATATGTTGTGCTGATTTCAAACAGAAATGTCAAACTGTGGTCCTTCAGTACTGCATGTTGAAACCTCTTTTACCAACCGCCAATTCAAAGTACAAACAAGTCAGGATCATATCCTTGAAGTCATGGTGATTACATGAAATTTCACCATGAATCCGGCTAACCATTTGATTCACCCAGTAAATACTGATGATCATTCCAAAATAAATCGGAACCAACCATGGCGGGGCAGAAAAGGCCCAAGAAATATCAAAATTGCCAACGTTAATAAGATTTAAGTTCACAAGGACTCTCATACTGGCACTCCTCACCGAATTGAGAGTACTTTGTATAAAGCACTTCTACTTAGTAGTATTCTAATTAGTGGGAACTTTTAAGAAACGCATAAACCTCTAATAAGTAGTAACCCAAGTGCTTCTTATATTCACTGGCAAGCAATAAGTGTTTCTCCAGGAACCACTATAAAAGCACCTCTGTCTATTTTATCCAAACACTACCTAAAGAATTGTTGATATCTGGAAGGTCTTTTGTTATTGTCACAACAGTGTGAAACAAACCCATAAAACCTTTGGATGCCTAAACCATTTTGTTTACTTGAATTAGAAAACGTAATGAATTCATGTTTGTGTTCTCAAGTTCTTGAAGTCAAGGGTATTTTTGGAATTTCAAGATTCGTTGGATATAGGCTATAATCAGGATCCAAGGAGCCTACATCAAGTCTATTAGGACCCAATACCAACCTTCCACAAATACCAAAGATGAAACTTAGAGGTGTATAGGAGGGAGGTGGAATATTTCTCCATGTAGTGGTGTCTATGGTGAACACATTTTATCTCAAATTACAAGGAAAGCTTATAAGTCTTTCTGTCTTAGAGTAATCAAAGGTTGCAATGGGATCTGCACCTTTGACGTGATTGACTTAACATGGTGCAGTCCATGCAATATAAAATTTCTACAGGGCTGCCACCAGCATTTGTGTGGTACTAACGTCAGCACATAACTCTGATTACCATTATGGTTAAGCCAGCCCTCTATTATGGATTTATCCACTGCCAAGGTGTTATGTACAAAGATATTATAATTTATAAAGGTAAAGGATGTTTGAAGAAGAGAAGAAAATAAAATCAAGAGCAAAGGTCTGAGAAAATATATTAAATTGACAACTGACAAGTAACAAATATTTTCTATAAACTGAACTAATCTACGATTTAAGTTAAAGTATGATGTCATCATCATTCATTGAATACTTCATTAGTCTCAGGATCACAGAAAAGATGGGCCCGTTGAGAATAATACTTAACACTAGAGGATAAAGGCATGAAAAGAGAGATTTTTTGTTGGTCCGAAGAAAATGGTGATCTTTTTTTTTATCTCAAAGAAGTGATTCAAATGGATAGAGTAGGGGGATTGGGGATGGGGAATTGAGCACTTGGTTACCTCAGTTTCCGTAGCCCCCTTGTGAACCTTAGTTTCTGTAGCCCCTTTATGAACCTCAGTTTCTGTAGCCCCTTTGTGAACCTCAGTTTCTGTCGCCCCTTTGTGAACCTTTGTTTCTGTATCCCCTTCGTCAACCTCAGTTTCTGTATCCCCTTTGTGAACCTCAGTTTCTCTCGCCCCTTTGTGAACCTCAGTTTCAGTAGCCCCTTTGTGAACCGCAGTTTCTGTATCCCCTTTGTGAACCTCAGTTTCTGTGTCCCCTTTGTGAACCTCAGTCTCTGTATCCCCTTTGTGAACCTCAGTTTCTCTCGCCCCTTTGTGAACCTCAGTTTCAGTAGCCCCTTTGTGAACCTCAGTTTCTGTATCCCCTTTGTGAACCTCAGTTTCTGTATCCCCTTTGTGAACCTCAGTTTCTGTATCCCCTTTGTGAACCTCAGTTTCTGTAGCCCCTTTGCGAACAGGACGAAATACATGAAAAAAGTGTGGTATTTCTTTAAGATCCGTAGAACTTTGAATAGCTTTCATCTTAATGAGAATATGCCAGCTGAAACCCAATAATAATCACATAAGATTACCACTGGAAGCCTATAACAAATATGCAATTCACATACAAAAGCCCATATATAACCCAACACCATTCAATTTCTAAATTTTCTTAGAACCAAATTATGGGATCCATTAAAACATACTCAAGTTTGGCTTGTTTGTCTACTGGAAACGGTCTATCAATATATTGTCTCAAGCCTGGCTTGTTTGCCCAAACCCTTATTGTACTTTTCCTCAAATTCCAACTTGTTTTTAATAAGAAAACAATAAATATGAGTTAGACCTGTCAGTTTTTATCTGTTGTGCCGCTTGTACTTGATCCAGGAATGATGTCACTGATTGACGATCAACTTTAGGCACCTTCTGCAAAATAGCAAACAAATTATAACTTAAAAGAAGCATACAATACTGACCTAGCAAAACCCTAATTTAGACAGAAAGCAGAAGAAGAAAGTGCAGAAGGAGGTAACAGCCACTTTCAGTTTCATTCTAATGTGATAATGAAATTAGACCCTCTTCCGAAGCTCTAAACCACACACACCTTCTACATGTCTGTATATACTCATAGTAGTTATCAAATCATGCTCTGGAATCATGTGCGGGCTCAAAGTTGTCCTGACCCAGCGCTCTTCCCAAAACCTCACCTTATTCCTATAACCCACCTCAATCAACAACAAAAGAAGAAAAATAATTGATCCCTTGAAAGATGCTTTCATAAACTAAAAGATGTCCTACCCATCCAAACGAAAGTGGGATGTTATTTTCAGTCCCATGTGATATCGGCACAATGGAGGGCGACTCTGGTAATTTCAGATCACAAATAACTCCAAGAATCCGGTTAACCACGTCATCCCCACCAACAATCTGAAAAGAAATATATGTTAGAAAGACAGCTACAGCACAACCCAAAGATTAATTAAACGAAAAATATCCAAAATGTATGTCAGAAATTGTTGAAATTATAAATACAAATCCGAAAACAAAAAAAAAAAGAAGAAAAAGTGTTGAACAATTGACTACATGGGATAAATTTAACATGTTACTCACTATAATTCTCATCCTCTTTTGAATATAATCAGCAAACTCAAATTTTTTACTCTTATGTAGAGCACCATAAACCTCCTTTAGCACGCTCTCAGGATCCTCTACCTTTATTGGTCCCTTAGAATCAGAGTCCTCTTCCAGCACAGAAAAGACCTAGGAAAGAAATTATAATTTGAACACTATCAAGTTAAGAATGTTTACAATCATACAGGTCAGATTTCTTTTTTAAAATAATCATTTCAAAATGCCTTTCCTCAAGGAGAGACAATTACAAAGAGAAAATACTACCTGCTTTTTATTAAGACGGTAGCAAAATTCGTTATAGAGTTGTACTCCAAGTTTTTCATCTTTTATATCAACAAACACTAAAACTGGGCAGCTTGGTATATCGACAGAAGGTTCACCAACCAAATCATGTTTAAGCAATTCGTCAGGTATATACATCTGCTTCAAGAAACGTTTGGACCTACAATTTGATCCACAGTATTCTTATTGCATGTAAATATGAATTTTGGGGAACCAAAGCTTAACAAATATAAGAATCACCCTATTTAGTTCACTTCTTCATAAGGGGTAATCTTATATAAAAGAACTTGAAACAAATTCAAGGAACAGCAGCATCAAATACTAAGCATTAGTCTATACTCCACGAAATTCAATATTATATGTATGTAACACTATCACAATAAAGGAGTTAAACTGAAGAATGAAATACAAAAATTCACCCATATATATACAAAACCCATCAATGAAAAAGAGGGGTTTAGAAGAATACTCAATCTCACGAATCTGCTCCGGAATGATTCCTGCAAGCGCCTTAGCAGCCAATGGAAGGCCATGACATTGATCCTTAATTTCATTCTCAATCTTACTCAAAGTTTTGTGAAGTGAAATGTTTAAAACTTCTTTGTTATTCTCCATAGTCTCCTCAAATATGCTCCAGCAAATTTCTTTGTCCAAAGGCTCAACATAAATCAAGTCCCTTTTTTCCACCACCTTTCGAGCCACTTCTGTTAACCTACTAGTGACAATGACCGCACCACCGCTACCCTTAGGCAATCCGCGCCATAAGCGATCCTCAATGTTAATGTGGCGCCGCTGCACATCATCCAACACAATCAGATACCTCTTACCAGAAAACAGTTGGTTGAGCCTTTCCAAGATCTTACCAAGGTCAACAATCCTCCCATCCAGAGTTTTGCCCAAATGATCGAGAATGCACGTCTCAAAGCTAAACCTACTAAACTGTTCTTCCTCTTCCCTCATACCCGAAAAGGGTAACCAAATTATAGGATTAAACTTACCCTTTACTCTCTCCCTTTTCAAAACCTTGTGCACCAGGGTGGTCTTACCCACACCAGCAATCCCCACCACCCCAATTGTCGTAAACCCATTTCCGGTAGAGCCCTCCCTACACAGCAAGTCCTCAACTTTTTCTGCCAGCTCATCAAACCCATAAACAACCTGCTCATCAAACCCATCAACAACTGGACAAGGTGGCGGTTCCACCTCCTCCGCCCAACAATCTCCGACGTCATTGTCCAGCCCCCGGGCGTCCCCCAAACTCTCCAGCTCCTTCCTCAATCCATCCAGTCTATTATTCATCTTCTGGATGAAGTAAAATCCAAAAGGGTTGAAGAGTAAGAGCTTCTTGTTGAGCTCCTTGCATTCCTTTGCGAAGATTCGGCACTCGGCCAAAACGTCGTTGAGTTTGTAGAGAAAATCGATGATTTCAGAGTAGTCGTAAGGACTGCGGGGCATTATATCTATCTCTCTGGCCCGATTTTTGATCGACTTGAAGGAAGAGATGAGATTTTTTATTGTTCTGAAGTAGGTGATGGAAATTGAACCTGATAATTCCGACTCGGCGTCTCGAAGCGAGCTCAAGAACTTTCTCCATTGAAATTCTGCAACGTCCACTGCCATTGATGCTCGTTGTTGTCCAACAGTGGGCGCTTAGCTTCAATTCTATGAATTCATAAGGGAAGGAAACCCCGCCTTTGGTTTAGGCATCAAATGCATTTCACATTGACCAAGAAAAGAATCAAAAAGTAAAAAATTATTAAACACTCCCTAAAAACTTGTGATTTATTCCAAAGTAAAACTTGTCATCTCTTCTCCGCTCTCTAATTTGAAATTTGGGTGCTTAATTGTTGATGGATGCCAAAATAAAATACAAAGATACGTAGAGAAAGTCGGCGGAAGTAATTTGCTTCGGAACCCTTTCTCTTAATTCATCAAGTTCGAGAATTCGAGCCATTGAAATTTGATTCAACGATTACAAACAAAAACTCATTTTAAAAGTTATATAACTTTAACTGGATCAAATTTCAATGCTCCGAATCCTAAACTTAATGAATTAGGAGAAAGGTATTTAGAGAGTATCCCTTTCCATATCTTGCAAATCAGCCAATCAGAAAATTTGTTTAGGAGTGTGATTTTTTTATGAATTTAATCTCTACTAATTAATAAAACACTCATTATCAACCAAAATCCTATGAAATTACCAGTTTAAGTTTAACCCTCTAATTAAAATAGAGCATGAATATGAAATATGAGGCAGAAATGTAATTTCACAAAACCAAATTTTGCTATTTTTTTTTTTCAAAGCCTCACTATATGTAATCCTAACATATCTCTAATTTAAAAAAATTAAAAAAAATAAGATAAAAAAATAATTTAAAAAAAAAAACTTCTCACTCCCACATTCTTTATCATTCTCTTCTTCTCTCCTTCTATTTCAAAAAAAAAAAAAGTCACACACTTTGTGAATATATTGAAAGATCTAACTAAGTATTAGTTTGGTCCTGAAATGCTTTTATAAAAAGTGGGTATAAAAAAAAAGATAAGCTCAAAAATGTGTTTGGTAAACATTTAAAAACAGCTTATTTTCACAGTTTTGAGTGAAAAAAAAAAGATGAAAACGTAAAGCAGCAAAAATGAGCTTATTTTCACAGCACAGCAGAAACAGTTTTTTTTTCAAAATACAGCAATACCAAACCATTCTTAAAACGCCATTGTTACACCCACCCCCAATTTGTATTTTCACTAAGTTTGAGTTTATCTTGCTTTTAAAATGGTTTTTGGGTCTTAAATGGTGTGCCCAAGGGGCCCACCCCCTGTTTTGTCCCCCGGTTCCTTTCCCCTTTTCTTTCTTTTCTAATTTTTTCTAACTCTCTCTCTCTCTCTTCTCTTTCTCTTTCTCTTCTTCAGCTCTCACTCTCCCTTATCATTACCTTTCGTGCTCTTTCCTCCCCGACGACCAACACCCCCACACATTAACAACCTCACCAACTCGATGTGAAGACCTCGAACTCAGGCCCAAGGCCATGTTGTCCTAACACCCTGTGGTGGCAACACTACTGTTCATCTTTTTTCCCCATCGTTTTGTCGACAAGCTTCCACCACCTCCGACTTGGTAAGTCTTAGAAACACCTCAAAGGTTTATCTTTTCGTCCCTATAGTTCTTTTCTAACCACGTTGTTGTGTTTTGGACGTCAAACCACGAAGAAACACATCGGGGAGACTTCCCCGGATTCTGGCAAGGAATCCGTCACTTTCGAGGCACTTTCCGGCCAAAATACAGTGAGTTGGCCGGCATGTAAGGTATCAATCTCTTCGTCTCCCTGAGTACTACAACTTTCCTTTTTGTTTCACCCAATTTTGTTGAGTATTGAAGAAGTTATACTCATTTGAATCTTACCCAGTTTCCAGCAAGTCCGACAGCTTTCGAGGCTTTTTCCGGCCAACCCACGGCGAGTTAGACGTCGTGCGAGGTACCATTCTCTTCATCTCTTTGAGAGAGAACTACAACTTTCGTTCTTGTTTCACTTGATTTCGTTGAGTTTTGACAAAGTTATGGCTGTTTAAAGGTTGTGCAGTTTCCGGCCGATTTCCGGCTTTCTCTTCCTTTGGGTCCGGCGACCCACCAAACCCAAGGCCTTTGGGCCTTCCCTGCCGAGCCCAACCCTTTTGGTTGTGAGGCCTTTGGGCCGTGAGTGTGTTGTGTGTGTGTGTGTATGTGTGCTGTGTGAGTGTGTGTTATGTGCCGTGGGTGTGTGTGTGTGGGTTTGGGCCTAAGCCCAAACCACCCCTTTTCACCCTAACCCTTTTTTAACCAATAACCTTAGGACCCTAAACCTAAAACCCCTTTTTAGCGTAATTCGACGTCCTGAATCCATTTCCTACGTCCGTTTTCCCAAATTCAATTGTTATTATATAGTTTTATTAATTGAGCCCTTTATGTGCTTAGGGGCAATTATAGTGACATTTATGTCTTCCCTAGTTGCGTGGCTCTTCGGCGGCGAAGTACTGTGAGTGGACCCCTTCTAAAAATGCATGTTTTAATAGTAGAAATGCATACATGGAAATGCATGATTTAATTATTACGTTTTATGAAACGCTTTGAGAAACATGCTTACTAAGGCTAGTTTGAATTATTACTATTTTTCCTATAACCCATGTTCTTATAGAATATCTGATGGATGACGATATGATATTTAGAACATGTTTCGAACACCTCTTTATAGTATAAATGATGGATGACTTTATACTATGAAGTTGCTTTTCAATATATATATGTTCAATGGTTTTGTACTTACCTAGTGGTCATTTTCGCTACGGGACGTAGGAATAGATTCCGGTCCTTCCCGGGCGACGGTTTGGGGTTGGCATAGGGACTGGAGTGTGTTTCATCTGGCTATTTAGCACAGGGACAGGGAGCCGGCATGGGGCTTGGGGGTTAACGAACATTCACTAGTGATTATTATATATGAGTTATGATTTGAGACATTACACGGCATGCTAGGTTTCGGAAAACCTATGTTTAACATTATATATGTGTTTTCATAAAACATGGGGGTTAGTATGTTGATAACTGTTTTATTATATATATATCAACTTGGTCCACTCATGTTTGTTTTGCGTCCCTTTCAGGACTTAGAATCGAGGCATACAATCCCGGCATCAAGGCACTTCCGCATCGGCATCTTCGAGTCCTCTTGGTGTGGGACCCATTCTTTTATTCATTCAATTTTATATTATTTCTTTTAGTATTCTAGTTAGTCGTATGTTCTGAACACGTTCCTTAAATGCATATTCTTTATTCTTTTATATTTATAAACCTTATCTATTCCTTGTTTTTAGCAATTGCACTCAATAAATGGCTTTCGTCACCCTCGGGTGTCGGCCAGCACGTGCCTATCCTAGTATTCGGGGAAATATCGGGATCGGGGCGTGTCAGCCATGAATTGAAGTGAAAATTTGGGCCAAGGACATGAACCAAAAGTGGAATTTGGTCTTTGATGTGATGAAAGTTAAGCACTCAAATTAAACCCTCTTGTTGTCAAATTGTAGTATAAATGCAAGTATGGATCGTTCTAAACCGGGGATTAGGATGGCTTGCTAAAACCTTTAAACTGACTCAAAAACATAAAAACAAAATTAAAAACGTTTGAATAGACTCAAGGGACTCAAAACAGATTCTAAATATTCAAAACAACTTAAAAACACTCAAAACTGCCTAAAACATAAACTGGGCAGATTTGGACTCTAAATCAACTTTGGACGAATTTAGTGTTTTGGCTTGAATCAAAACACTCAAAAACACAAACAAAACAGAAATTTAACATTTTGAAACAAGAAAGTAAAAGGGGGATTTTGGTTTGGATGAATTTGAAATAAACAAGCAAGTTATAAAACTAGGCAGATTATAAAATGAATTTGAGAAATAAAATGATGGATGGATTAGTTAGATGTCCGTTCTTCACACATGACACAGTTGTACATAAATCGATTTCCAATTGCTTTTCAATAAACTATTATGTTCAACACCCCAGATTAACCGTGATGCACAAATTAACCCTCAGATTTTTCTTTACTCATTGAATTGGATGAATGCATGCGACAACCCAAATCATTCTCTAAAAGTCCCCTATATGAATGCATAATAGAGATACAATTAGAGATCATTACGTTCAATGAAAATCATAAGTGTTGACGAGACAATTATAACTATGAATGCATGATACAATTGCCAAGAATTCAATTAACGCGATTGTGATAAACAACCTTCACTACTCATGAATATAAACTTATAACGATTAGGTGATACTCATTTATATTCTAGCATCTAATTCATGCATGAAAATTAAGTATGCATCCTTAATAAACATACGAGAATCAGTTATGAATAAAATAGATAATTGAATTGCAATCACAACTTATCACATCACAATTGGAAGAAATCAATTCATATCTCAAGCATGTTCATGGCTTCAAACTTCCCCCTAACTAAATGGGGGTTTAGCCACTCATAATTGCAACAAAATCAGAAAATGAATTTAACATTGGAAACAAAAGAAAGAAAACACCTAAACGCTCCAACGATCCAAGTTGACAGCACGCACGTCCAAGCACTTTCCTTTCCTTCCTTTGCTATGGCACAAGGTGTTGGTTAGTGTTTGAAGGTTTGTTTGTATGGAGGAATGGATGTAAATATGAATGAATGTGTTTGGATGAAGGTTGTATTGAAATGGGAGTGAAAGATCTAAAAAAAATATAAACTCCATTTATGTTACACACACTTCCTTTTATAGAGGAAGTGCAAGGCAAAGCATGGGTAAAATGGAGTGGTGTTGAAATGATTGAAAGGTGAAAGTGGAGTAATGATGCAAAGCATGGGTAAAATGGAGTGGTGTTGAAATGATTCAAATGATTCAAAGGTGAAAGTGGAGTAATGATGCAAAGCATGGGTAAAATGGAGTGGTGTTGAAATGATTCAAAATAATGATGCATGAAATCTGAAATGATGGAGGGAACAAGGAATGGTGTAGCAATTGAGTGCAAGGAGGGAACATGGATGATGATAAGGTAATCTTGACTTATGTTTCTTCTTTGGTTGCTGAGCTCTTTGTCATTTTTACATTAATTCTTCTTTCTTTTTAACACATTCCAAGCCTCTTTAGTCTTCAATTTCGTCCATCCACCTTGCTTCATGCATGTGCTATCCATTCCAAGCCAAAAAATGCTCCAAAATGCACCAAAATGCATCTTATTGCTTTATAAGGCCTATGGACCTACAAACACACGAAAATAGCTTAAAATACATAATTAACTAAGAAATAACAACATAAATGCATGAGAACAAG